ATAGAGTCCTTAAGTCTGACGTCACGTTGCCATGACACCAAAATTTTCTGTTCTAAACAAACTGTCGTGACGAGTCGCCATTAGCATCGAGCCATTGTTTTGAAGAATTAACCTAGGATTTCATATTTAAAACTTCTATTCAAGTCAAAATAAGGGCCCAATTAAAGCAACCGGGCTGTATTGTTTTACAAGATTTTATAATTATACCGATCGGTTTGATATAATTCGACTTTTAACGTTAAAAAGTTGGCGTTACGAATACTCCGCGGGTCAACATGGTTCAGTGCTTTGCACCAGATTGTAGACATACTTCTGAGAGCCATACATGTAGATTTTTTGGATTTCCAAGTCAAAAAAAGAAAAAAGAAGACTACACGAGGTGGATTAAACTATTAAGGTAAGATTTATCTCCGTTATATCAAAGATTACGTTGTTATGAGCGGTTCTCGAAGATTAGCGCGCGTTTGCTTCTATTCGTGCAAAGTACTTCAAAGTTCATCATTGACTTGTGTTATTCTTTCTGTAGGCGGGCTGATAAACTTCCTGGAAATCACTCTCGAGTATGCAGCTGCCATTTCAGAGACGGGTTGAAAGAAAACGGTCCAGAGATCTTTCAAAGGAACAAGAGAACTATGTTTCCACCAGACGACTACTCCGAGAAGAGGAAGGAGGCCGCGGCAAAGAGAAAACGAAGTAGCGGTGCGAGCAATAACCCAGTGGAGTCAGTGGAAGAAATGGTTCAGCAATATCGAGAGCAGGAAAGGAAAGCCGAAGAAAATGAAATGTCAGCGATAAACAGAAAACCGGTAGCTCAAATTGTGTTGGAAGCTGAATTACAGAGCAAGAGTAAAGAGCTTGAAGTGTACAAAGAAAAAGCGGCCTACCACCGCAGTCACTATAGTGCGTCCACATTAAGTGAAGAAGTTATTCGAATGGAGACTGGACTACCAACGAGAGAAGTTTTCAATATTGTTGTGCTTTATGCCTTACGATTCAAGGATTCAATTCGTTACTATTATGGTTGGGTAGTGAACTTGGTAACTTTTGAAGATCAGATATTTATTACTTTGATGAAAGCTAGACAAAATTATACTAATTTGCACCTTGCTCAGTTATTTTCTTGTAGTGTTGCCACTATAGCTAATATTGTTTCTACATTTATCCATGTGYTACATTATATTCTTTTTCATGATTTAATGACTACCATTCCCTCTAGATATAAGAATGACACTTGTTCACCATCCTCATTTTCACATTTCACTTCATGTAAGGTAGTCATTGACTGCACAGATGTTGAAATTGCCACTCCTGGGTTAATGAGTCACCAAAATGTAACTTACTCTACCTATAGGGGAATGAATTCTTTTAAAGTTTTRATAGGTGTCGCCCCAAATGCAGTAATTACTTATGTAAGTAAGCTTTTTCCTGGGTCTATTTCAGACAAGGCTATTGTAGAAAAGTCTGGGTTCCTAAAACAACTAGAAGCAGGTGATTTAGTACTAGCAGATAAAGGTTTTCTTATTCAAGATGTTGTACCAAATGGTGTATCTGTTAATATTCCTCCATTTTTAAACAATGGAAAATTTACTGAGAGTGAGGCTAGAGCAACTAA